TCTAGTCTATATTCTAGTCTATTGTCTAGTATATATTATTGTCTATATAGTCTAGTCTATAGTATAGTTTATAGTCCAGTCTAGTCTATAGTCAAGTCTATAATCTAGTCTATAGTCTATAGTCTAGTCTATAGTATAGTTTATAGTCTAGTCTATATTCTAGTCTATTGTCTAGTATATATTATTGTCTATAGACTAGTCTTTAGTCTGGTCTATAGTATGTTATCTAGTCTATAGATTTGCGGAATTTATCACCGACTCTGATAAGTCATGAAATATTTCCATAAACTGTTAAAGAAATTTTCAACTGGATAACTTAAGGGCCGTTAAGCTTGATACGATATTGATCAAGTTTATAAATGAAAATTTCTATCATTATAAAATACCACTCTTTGGACCCCGGAAAGCGTTTACAATTTCTGGACAATCTTCCAAAAGTACGTTTAATTTTTCGAAGCACTATATCTTTAAAATAGTATCTCAAATCTTATCTCTTATTTGCGCTGTACGTAAGCTGCTATAGTGCAGTCAGTGATTTTTGTATAAAAATATTAAAGCTCTTATAAATATCTATAAACAACAGCAACAACAAAAAATACACGTTCTTAAAGGTACAACAAATATGTATATTTGTTGTTTAATTTTATATTTTATAAATATAACAAAACAAAATTTGTCAACGTGGCTTCCCCAATGATTTAAACACAACAATTGATCTTATTAATAAAATATAAAAAAAAGAAACACTAACAAAATTTTGTTATTGTTGAATATTTGTAAACGTATACAATTTTATTTTGTTAAGTGTGGCCAAAATTTTGTATTAACCTAAACAATTTTTTTGATTGTCTTCGGTTGTTTAGGTTGTTGTGGTCTGGTAATTGTGTTTTTTTTTTTTTTTTCATTCGCTAGCAAGTGCCACGCTTTCATTTATAGCCTATTTAATTGATTTCATATCATTTATAAAACATTTTAATATTAATAATTATGTTGATTTGTTTTATTTTGTTGTTAACAATAATTGCTGGGGGAATAAAGAACATGTATAAAAAAAAAAATATTGTTTATTTGTTAGATTCAGACAACGCACCCAATATTTGTACAGATTTTTTTCAAGGTTATCTGAAAATATGCATGTATAAATGTTGTTTGGGAGATGTTATAATCATTACTCTCCCTCTTCTCATTAAGTTGTTAGTACCATTTTTAGTCATAGACTTTAAAACAGCTTTGTTTTTGTAAAATTATTCTTAATTTAATTTATACATCTATTCTAGTCATAACCTGTGTGCGGCTCTTAGTGATAGTGAAATGTTATTAATAACTAGTTTGTAGGTTTGTTAGTTTTTTCTCTTTAACACAGAATTATGTATATGTAAATAAAAAAATTTGAATTTTAACACATTTCAGACAAATTAGAGCAAATTTTCTGTAGACAGTATGTGCTAAGCTTTTATAATTTAAAGAATTTTATTTCTGCTTTAAACTGTTTATAACTTGATTCCAATAATTACTTTTTACTACTTTTGTAATTTTCACTTGTCATTTTCAAACTCATTTCATAATGACATCATCATATTTGTCATTATGTTTTTTTTTTGTGAATTGTTACAATAAATGAATGAACAATACGCACAAAATTTTTTTTATACAATAAACAAGTCATAAAGATGTTTGGGTTAGCAACTCAATTCTATTATTATTCATTACTACTGTTTTTTTTATTTACTTTTTAACATAAAACTTTCTAAAATTTAAAGTTTATAGTTAAAAAGTATTGAAATTCTTATCAGAAATCTAATTTAAATGCACACACACACATTTTTAATGAGATTCAGTTTAGCTTTTCGTTTATTGTTTTTTGAATTTATTAAGTTTTTTAAATTTATTAAATATTTAATTTTAATTTTATTTTTTACCAGTTTGAAAGTGAACAAATTATTTAAATAATATTATTATATCAGATTTTTGCACTCGAATTCTAACAATGGGTCTAAAACAGGAAATAGAAATTTCATAAATAGAATCTGAAAAATCTCGTTTTGTTATTTTTGTGACTTAAAATTAAAAATTTTAGATAGATTTTATTATATCATTTAAATGACGCAAATTCTTCGTCTTTCATCTTTTTTATTGCTCTGACTTTTTCATAATTATAATTATATTAAAAAAATATTAAATTGAAAGAAATTCTTAGATTATTATTAGAACTAAATAATAATTCACGTATATATAAACGCTTAATAAACCTTAAATAAACGATAAATACACAGACCGACAAAAGTTTGAATAAAGTCGAAACCTTAAGATCAAGTTAGACGTTTCTAAAGGATTGGGCCGTGCTGAATCCGAATATTACTTTCTACATCGCATCTGGTATTAGAGGTATCGTGTCCTGAAATTTGTAAAATTGCCATTTTTGGTCCTCTTTGAGGCGGTATACCATTGCCAAGTCAACTTTATTTATAAAGTCTATTCTATCAACGTTAAAATTAAGGCTTAACATCTGATATATCATCTTTGTTCTTGAAGATATCTGCACCTTAATCTTGAAAACTCAAAGGTTTGCGGTATATTCTTGGTATTTATACCCTATAGTACTATAGTACGACATCTGTCCGTCCGTCAACTTCAACGGATGATATCTTAGAAACTACAGCAGATTTTTAAACAATTCAAAAAGTATTTTCATAAGAACAAATAGAAAATTTGGAATGTATAGGTTTTTTTGTAAATTATAAACGAAATTTATTGTTATATCAAGCTTTAGATGAAGATAATTTGAAGAAGAGAAAAGATATGTGAGATGTTAAGCCCTTATTTTAAAACTGATAGAGTAGACTTTAAGATGGCATACAACATTTTCGAAATAAAGTTGTCTTGGTGCTGTAACGTCTCAAAAAGGGAATGATATCACAAATTCCAATGTAATGGAGAAATTCGGAGGCAAGATACGGATTCAGCGCGGCTCAATACTTTCGAAATAAAGTTATAACGTCTCTAAAAGAGTACGTTATCTCAAAACCCAGATGTAGTAGATACATTATAGGCTTCTGTGAAAAAAAAAACGTTGAAATAGAGTATTTACATTTAACAAGTTACACATTATAGTAACGCGTCTGCTGCAGCTTATAAAGCGTAAAACGCGTTTCCACCTCAACGCGTGTTGTGTACTTCCACCTTAAGATTGAAGTTAAAATCTGACAAATTTCGTCCGCTGATTCCAAATATAAATTGGGATTATGTTCCGCATACAAAAAACACGATAAAACATAATTTTAGCCAAAACTTAGTATTTCTCTTTTTTTTACAATTCTTATTTTCAAACTATTTTGTACAATTTTAATATTTATTCTATTGTTTATTTTTCGAAAAAAAAACTTAAATTCGCTTTTTTTTTGCAATTTGGTAAACAAAATTTTTTAATAAATTATGAAAAAATATATCGAAATATTTTGTATTATATATAAGTCAATGCATGTGAATTTTAACTCTCTTTTTATCCATTCTCGGCCTTTTTATGCTCTTCTCTTCATAATTTAATGGAAATCCCCCACGCTTTTTATGCAAAATAAACACGAAAATAAAGACATTTTGGGGTTTTGTTCAAATAAAAATAAATTTCGGTAAAATGTTTGTTTAGGCGGTTAAAACGAACGAAATGTACACTTCAGATTTCGATATAAGTTTTTTCCGCGATCTTATAGTTATATCTTATAGGGATATGGTAAATAAAATGAGAAACAAACCAAGTTATAGCGATCGATAACGATCGAAATCTTAATAGAATTTATAAGAAAAATTTCCTTTGTTGTGATAGTTTATTCACAAGGAAACCTTGGGCTTAATTTTTTTTTACAAAGGGATCAACTTTGGACTAACTATGATAACCTAAACGTTGCACTTTTGACGTTTTGCCTCGTACATAATTTTCTTGTTAAAATGTTGACTTGTGAAAACGAACAAGAATTGTTCAGGAATGATGTTTTAAAACATTTCGAATTATTTTTATCCAACTTTAATTTTTTTTTACAAATCTTTGTTTTAATTTAATTTCTTATTTTTGTTAAAATTCTTTAGCCGTGTGGTCATTGATCGAATACCAACGATTTGACAATATAAAAAACTACTCACTACTTACTCTCCCACCTCCATATATGATTGAGGGAGGTTATAATAAAGAAAAACAACAAAAACGAAAAAAAATTAAACAAATGTTTTGTTTATTTTTAAACAATCATTCTCCTCTTCTACGTAAAGAAGAAAATTTCGAATTTTGAAATATTTCTCTTTTTTTCTACATTTTTTTTTGTTGGAAAAAAATTTTTAAGTAAAAGTAACAACGCCAGTCACTCAGTCTTGTCTCATTTGTACGCATTTAAAATTATAGATCCGTTCTAGCTTTTTTTAATAAAGTTTATATATATTTTTTATAAAGTGCATTTATAGTATTTCTTTGCTTCTTAAATTTATCTACAAATATGTCTACAAGTAATTCAAATTTTGTGTTTTACATTTAAAAAAAATACATATAATTAAAAGAAATTATTTTAGAAAATTTTACAAGAATATTTTAAAATTATGAAAAAAAAGAAAATTTAGAAAAATATTTTGTCTAAAGGTTGCATAATTATGATTTTTTTGAGTTTGTGTGTGTTAAGTTATTTTAGCAACTGTGTGTGTTGGTTGTCTCCTCTACGTTTTATTGTGCGGTATTTTTGGCATCTTTTTTTTGAAAATCTAAAAATTTTTTAATTTTTAAAATGTGTGCGATATTATCAATGATTAATGTTTTAACTAAATAGCAACAATAACACAAATTTATTATAGTTATTGTTAAAAAAAAGCTTAAAACAATTGAAATGTGGAAATTAAATTCATATTTCAGCGGAACTTTTCAATCGGATTAGAAATCTTAAACACTTTTATATATTTCAAAAGAAAATTTTTAATTTATAATAAACATAAACTAATCGAAAACCCATTTTGTTTCCTTACAGTGGAGTCCCTTATTTACTGGCGCGATGTGAAAAAATCTGGTATTGTTTTTGGTGCTGGTCTTGTCACACTTTTGGCCATTTCATGTTTCTCTGTCATCAGTGTATTCGCCTATTTGTCATTGATCTTACTGACAGGCACAATTGCATTCAGAATCTATAAATCAGTTATGCAGGCCATACAAAAGACCTCCGATGGTCATCCCTTCAAGTGAGTTATATTTTAAAACTCTTTATTTAAGAAAAAAAGGAGATATTAATAATATTTTGTTTTTGTTTTTTTCTTTCAGAGAATACTTGGAAATCGATTTAACATTGTCTCAAGAGAAAATCCAAAATATTGCTGGTGTTGCTGTAGCTCATGTTAATGGTTTCACTGCTGAATTGAGAAGATTGTTTTTGGTTGAAGATTTAGTCGATTCCATTAAATTCGGTGTTATTATGTGGGTCATGACCTACATTGGCGCTTGGTTCAATGGCATGACATTGGTTATTTTGGGTAAGTTTTAAAATTTGATTTGAAGAAGGTTCGAAAAGTAATTGAGTTTGATAAACTGGACTTGATGCGAAAGCGAAAATGTGAGAATTTGTGTGTTAAAAACATTGTATTTTGAAAACTTTTTCTTTCGAATCCAAATTAACTCCCTTGACCCTTAGGAACATTCATTCGAGAATGTAGATTGTCTTGTACCTAAATGTAGATTGTCTTTGGGGGATGTCAACAGACTCTCAACGGAGAAACTGGTGTCACTTAGAAGCTGGCTCTGCTCTCTGATGAGAAGCATGATATTTCAGTTATATTTGCTTACAGTTAGGGCCTCTTGTACTGACAAGGCAAGATGATACCAAAGGAGATACATGAGAAGATTGCCCAGAAATGGTTCGGCGAGAATCAGGCCTATTCTGATCAATAAACTCCCTGGGACTAATTATTCATAATTGGATTGAATTCCTAGGGCCTCTCCCGGGAAATAATTATTCATAATTGGATTGAATTCCTCTCCATGATATATTAATAACACTTAAATACATACGAAATTGTAGTAGTTTCTTTGATCTCCTGGGGAAACACGGCGCAACTTGCGGATATTATAAAGCGATCTTAATATCCATTTTATTTCTACACTCAATACTTTCAAAACTCTACAAAAAACTTTGATTTCTCACAACAAAATGCGAAAATTTCTCAAAAATCTTCTTATGTATACTAAAAACTGAAGTTTCTCGATATAAAATCAAATTTTACAATAAAATTTTTAACCTAACACTTTTTTCTCTTTACAGCCTTTGTCTCCTTGTTCACCTTGCCCAAGGTTTACGAAAACAACAAACAATCTATTGATACTTACTTGGATTTGGCCAGAAGCAAAGTAGCTGAAGTTACTGAAAAGTAAGTCCTCCTTTTCACATCAACAAAAACAATAAATTTCTAATATAAATTTCACCTAATTTCAATTTCAGGATCAAAGTAGCCATTCCCATTGGCAACAAAAAGCCCATTGCTGCTGAAACCGACAAGGACAAGTAAATTTCAAATGCAACAAACCAACCAACAACCACAATGTTGTAAAGCGACATAAATTTGTATTAACATCTTAAAAAGTAAATAAAAAAAAAACCAACAGAACAAGTTGAAGACGAGATAAAGAAAGAGGAGAAAGCAAACAAACAAACGCAACTTTACTATCTAATTGCAATTACATTTTTTTCTTTGTGTTAAGATAAAAAAACCCAAAAATAATTTACAACAAATGAAAACCAACAACAACAACATTTTTAATAACCAAATAAAACCATTTAAACAAACAACAAATCCTCAAAAACATAAAAATATATTTCAAAAACAGAAAACGTAACAAAAAAAACTTTATTGGTAGCACTTTAAATACAGAAAATTTTCAAACAAATAAAACTCTCAACGAACGATATACAATTTTATTTATTTTTTAAACTTTTTTCCCTGAAAACACTTCTTTCTATATATTTTGTTTTTCAAATCTTTTTTTTTTTCAACCTAATAGACAAAACAATTATTTTGACCTCTTAACTTTTAATCTACAAATTGCAAACAAAAAAAGAGGATATTAATAAATAAAAAATAAAACATTTTTATTTAACAAAAATGTTTGTAAACTGTAGTTTTGACTTTATAATGATGAAGTATATTTATAAAATTAATTTTTTTTTTTTGGCTGATAGAACGTTATGTGTCAATAAAAACTATATATATTTTTTTAATTTTAAATTATTTTTGAAAATATGAATTATATTATTATGATGATGTTTACCATTATAACTAATTGTATAACATTTTATTTGGTAATTTTATTAAAACAGATTTCCTTAAAAAAAAATTAAGAAATGAAGCATAAACCTTTTTAAGGAAAACTTTTTCAAAAAAAAAAAACAATGCAATTTCGAGCTGTTTTTAAACTCTTGTTTTTATTTTCTATATTTATAGTTCTTTATAAAATTAAAAAAAAAATTCCCCATAATTTGTTGATATTTTCTTTTAAAAATTGTAGCTTAATCCTTTGTTTATTAGTTGAAGAAGACTTAAATCTTTTATTATTATTATAATTATTAATTATGACATCATTACTAAGCTAATTAGCTAGCTACATTTACTTGAAAACCCAAGAATAATAAATAACATGAAGAAAAAACCAACAACAACAACAAATTATTAAGATAACTGAGAAATTAAATAAATAAAAAAAAACTTTAAAAACTTAAAAAAATTATATATATAAAATATATCAAAATTTTTTTATTACAAAAAGTAAAGATTTAAAAATTGTCCAAACAACAAAACTTTAACAAACAGGTAGTATAAAAATTATATATTATACACACACACATATAGACACACTCTAATACAGACATTAACGCTAAAAACAAAACAAAAAAACATTTTGATGTATTTAATAATGAATTTTATTTTTAATAATAACGATTCAAGTAAAAGAAAAACTTAATATTAATAAATGTTAGTAAATAAACAACAAATAACAACCACAATATTAAAACATTTAACAATTAAATACATTTATACAAACAAAATACATTAATTAATACTTTTTGCCTTTTATAAGTTGCTTAATACATAATTAAATAAATAAATAGTTTTGTTTAACTTTGTTATCATCAAAATGCCTTAAAATCAAAAAAAAAAAAATATTTAAAATTTTAATAAACAAAAAAAAAAAAAGAAACATTTTTATTTAGCAGAAATATTTTAAATTGTTATTTAAAGTATAAAAAATACTTAAACGTTAGAAGCCTAAAATTCTGCTTTAGTTTTTACTCAATTATGTTGCGCTTTAAAGTATGCTTTATAATTCTCATAAGCTATTAACAAACTCAACATCATACATCATAGCTCATTTAAGCCAATATTTCATTTCATTATTATTAAAGCATGTGCTTGTGTTTTTAAAACCTTTTTTCAGTTTTAAATGTTTTTTTCGTTTTTTTTTTTTTTTCAAGAAAAACACAAAACCTTTATATTATATCATTAAGAAGAGAACAAAAACGAATACAAAATAAAACATTGATTTGCCGCAGTCTAACAAAAAAAAAAAGTAAAGTAAAATATTTCAAATCAATTTAAATTATAATAAAAAAGAAGTATGAAATGAGAAATTAATAAATACAACTTTAAAAAATATATAAAATCATTGAGACGTTAAACACGTTCTGAGTAAAACACGTTAAGAGTAAAAAAGTAAGTATTTAAATCATCTACTCAAATATTAAAAATAGAATCCGAACTTAATGAAAAGTATATATCATAATGTTTAGATAAATGCAACTTTATAAATGACACTGACAACAATTTGAAAAAAGTAGAAACTCAAAGACTAAGGCATACTTTTCTAAAGGATTGAGCAACGCTGAATCCGAAAATTAGAACTTCTCCTCACAGCAGATTTTCCAGATATTGTATCATAAACATTGCGAATACTCAGTTTTTGGCCATATTTGGGACGTTATAACAGCGCAAAGACATCCTTATTTATACAATATGTTATGTCGCCTGAATCTGAATCTGTCGACTTTAATATAAAGGTTTAATATCTAAAGATGTTTGCGCTGTTATAACGTCTCTAAAATGGTCAAAAACTTGATCTGATGGGTAAATTCTGAGGCCAGATTATGTTTGATTAAAATGATTTAAAATCTAGCCTGTATAATGTTGATACATATCTACTCTCTAGATTACTTGGGGACAGAAAGGTTGACGACTGTCTCTGTTCTTGCTTAAAAAGTGACAATTGTCTTCACTGCTTTTTCCTAACGAATTTGAATATAAATGAAGAAGGTTTGATGGGGTTCGTAAAACATATCAATATTAATTACGTATGGACAACACTATCGCCCCTATTCTGCATTTCAATTGGAATCGAAATTTTCTCCGTTTGGCAACTTTGGTATTCTGCATTTCGATTCGACTCTCCGCCGCATAAACAACAACTTACAAAAACGTAGGTACGATCGTAACGCAGAATACACACATTCGTAAAGCATTGAAACGAAATGGAATTGCTTCTTCTTTTTCTTTCGATTTAGTTTTTATACCCACCATCAAAAAAGATGGGGGGTATATTGATTTTATCATTCCGTTTGTAACACATAGAAATATTGGTCATAGACCCACAAAAGTATATATATTCTGGGTCCTCATTAAATTCTAAGACGATCTAGCCATGTCTGTCCGTCTGTCCGTCCGTCCGTCTGTCTGTCTGTTGAAAGCACGATAGAGTCCGAACGGAAAAAGCTAGAAATTTCACATAAATATTTCTTATAGGTAAGGTTTGTTTGGTATTGAAAATGGGCAATATCGGTCCACGTTTTCGGATAGCCCCCATACAAGTGGCCCCTCGAAAAGCAGCTTTAACAGCCATAACTTGTTTAAAAATACGAATATAGCGATGAAATTCGATATAAGTAAGTTTCTTATGATCCAAAATCAATATGCGAAATTTTATGAGGATCGGTCCATAATTGACCCTACTCCCCATATAAGGTCCCCTTCAGAAAATGACTTTAACGCTCATTACTGGCTTAAAAATACTAGTATATAGATGAAATTCGACATAAGTAAGTTTCATACGAGTCAAAATCTATCTAAAAAATTTTATGAGGATCGGTCCATGATTGACCCTACCCCCCATATAAGGTCCCCTTCAGAAAATGACTGCAACGCTCATTAATGGTTTAAAAATATGAGTGTAGCGATGAAATTCGACACAAATAAATTTAATACGAACCAAATTCTACCTACCAAATTTTATGAGGATCGACCCATAATTGACCCTACCCCCCTATACATGGTCCCCTTCAGAAAATTACTTTAACGCTTATAACTGGCCTAAAAAATACGAGTATATAGATGAAATTCGACATAAGTAAGTTTCATTCGAGTCAAACGAGGTTTGATGGTGGGTATATAAGATTCGGCATAGCCGAATATAACACTCTTACTTGTTTTTGTTGGAATACCTTTTTTCGATCGTTGCGTAACTGAATGCGTAAACAAAATCGAAATGCAGAATAGGGGTGTATATTTTATTTTCAGTACGTTCGACCGTGACAAAGAAGATTCAATTCCATTTTATTTCAATGCTTTCCGATTATATGATTATTATCGATTCGAATTGAATTGTTTACGAATTTGTTTAGAAAACGTAACAACGCGTTTCATCATGTGTATAAGACTAAAACTTCATAATCTTCATTCAAATCCACATATTTTGCGTCAAGGAATTTCTTAAATTTTTATAGTTCATTTTGGCCGACAATAGTAATATTTGAGTTTTAATGGTCTTCACCGGGTTATATCCTGGACAAGGAAGGAAAATTCAACCATTCAACCCAGCACATTTCTCATTCATTCGACACTCTCATAGAGAACAACATCCGACACACTCACTCTAGGTATACGGTATACCCCTACATTCATCCTATATCATATACACTTAACACCAACTCATTTCCAACATTTAGTCCCACAGTCACTTCTCTATGGAGTATCTCTGCGAAACTCTGACTTGCGGACTACCAGGTCCCGTGGTTCCAGATTGTGTGTTTCTCTGGTTCCACCGCATGTCAAATCATTCCAAGAAAAGAGGATACATTTTTGATCATCACCAGTTTATAGTCCCGGCAGACTAGATGAACTGGTAGAACCTCTTTTCCCAGAGATTTCAATCACACTAAGATGGGATCATCAAGGTAACATGCCCCGAAGGGAGGATAATGTAAGCAATAGGCAACCTTAAAAAATTACACGAACAATTATGCGAGCTAGATGAAAAACCTGCGAAAGCCAAATAACAGCTATCGGCCTAACCGCCTTTAACAGATAACGATGATGATGTGGGAATTATTCTTTAACTCAGACCTGAATTGCGACTAGCGTAAGCCCACTAGTATTACAATTTCTTCGTGGAAGTCAATCTTAGCATAAAATATGAATTGAGACATGTCATTTATATCAGTGCATACAATTCAGATATTTAGGTAGATGAATTCACTAATCTTCAAGTAGATACCAGTACCTCGTCTCTGTAATTTTCTCGAATCGAGAAAAAACTTAAAATATAACAGTCTTCCAGTTTTTAACAGTGTGACTATGATTATTTTTAAACTGTACTCATTAAAATTTAATAAGCAATTTTTAAATTTCTTGTATTCACCCTGTTTTACACAAGATGATCATGAATTTTTCGACAGATTTTCTCGATGCGAGAATTACAGAAACGGGGTACAGAATGTTATTTATAATTGCACAAACTTCTTCAGCCAATTTTCCAAGTTGTTAGCACACTATTGCGTAATTCCTTATAGAATTTGCATTTCGAATGCTCCTAATCCATCGAATGATCTTTTATGTTAAAAGTTTTTTATCAGCTTTTATTTTAATAAAATAAATATACTAAAATCCGTTAAAAAAGCTTTCCTCTTAACCAAAACTAAACTGTGATCCAATTCTAGTACTTAGTACTTTTTTGTACTAAAAATGACATATAGCAACCAAAAATACTCAACACTGCGAGCTGAAGAACTTTTAAGACCCCCACCACCCACCTCTATGAAAAAAAACAACAATAAACATTTTTCCCCCCAATAGAGTAAATGAAATAACAAATGTTTCTTGTCTGCTAAATGTTTGACAACTATTAGCCACACCGGCTTAACTAGAGGGAGGCAGACGAATGTATACAAAAAGCACAAAATTTCACAGTAACAAAGAAGAGAGAAAATAAAGAGAGCTAAACATATGTGAAAACAAAACATATACGCATGTTTGACCTTCCGACAAGGTGACCGTTAAAATGCATAAAAAGAGCGCTATTTAGCAGAACAAATAACATCATGATTAATTTAAAATTGTTTATTCCAAACAAGCAGCAATATGTACAAATATTTATTCAATGCATTTTATATTAAGAAAACAAAACAACAAGCAAAAGAGCCTAAAGTAAACAGA